GGTGGATCCAACTAAAAAACACTGGGGCGGGTCCAACTGAGCGGGGCGGGTCCAACTAAAGAGTAGTGGCTCCAAGTCAATGCAAAATGGGGGTTCCAGATTTTGGATCCCCCCCGGGGTCTGGGAAGTGCCAAGGTAGGCTGCCAGTTCAGGCCTCAAAGAAGATGGGTTACGCCCCGGGGCCCGATGTGGGGGAGAATGACTTTGCTAGAAGATGAGGTGGTCATGTGCTATGCCAAGGACCTCAAGCACTGCTTCCACGTCTTCTCCCCCGGTCAGAAGTGGCGTGGTTACTTCGTTCTGAACAAGCGAGCTTCGGGAAGTGCCTTCGATGACGGGTTGCCCGACCACGCCAGGCCGAGGGTGAAGTCGGCCCCTATATGGGGTGGACAAATATAGTTGACTTTAAACAGGATGGCTTGGAGCGCATGGGCAGCATTGCAGGAGTGCCTTCACAGAGGGTCATCAAAATGGGAGAGCCGAGCCCCCTGGCTGCTCTGACAACGCCGCGCTCTTTCTTCTCGTTCTACGTTGTCAACGACCAGTTCACTGTGGTGGCTGAAAGCGAGATTGGCATCTATGCTGGACGTCCAAGTGATGAGCAGTTGGAACTTCGTGAAGTCTTCAAGGTGTGGGACATTGGACGTGACCCCAAGAAGTGAGCAGAGGGAGTGCCAAATTGGTCAAGCCTCGGAGCTGAGCAGTTGGGGCAAGAAGGTTTGGTTGGGTCGATGCGGAAGCTTCGCAGGGGCATCCTTGGTTCAACTTTGTGCCTTCTCCAGTCAGGGGGAGTTCGATGCGGCTCGCCTGAGCTTCAGTCTCTGGTTGGGAAGTTCATGCACTCTGTGCAATTCTGCAGACCCCTGGCGTCCATGTTCGACTCGCTGTACATGCGCCTCTCTCAAAAGCCAAGCTCGTCGCTCTGTGGTGAGGAGGCTCTGGAGGAGCTTCTTCTGTTGTCTATGAGCCTTCCGACGCACTGGCTGGACCAGCGACTCAAGACATCGCCGACGGTGTATGCCACGGATGCATCCCCCGATGGTGGTGGGGCCTGCGCCAGTGTTGAGCTTTCAGCTCGTGGCCGCGCCAAATGCCAGAACCTCCTGACGATGGACGACCTTGGGGGGAAGAATGATGACGTGCTGGTCATTGAGTTCTTCGGTGGTATTGGTGGCCTGCGCAGGGCGTATTGGAGCTTTTAGGTGTGGTTCCTCAAGGGATCGTCTTTATTGACAACAATCCGCTCTGTGTGAAGCTGGCCAAGCGGCACTGTGCATATGTCCTCCCCGTCGATGACATCAAGAAGGTCACTGAGGAGATGGTCCGTGATTGGCGGCGGCAGTTCCCTCGTGTAAAACGAGTGATAGCAGGTGGCGGCTGGCCTTGTGTAAATCACTCCCTGCTTAACTCGGCACGTGAAGGAGCCGGGGCTGAGACATCGGAGCTCTTGGGCGTGATGCTGCAGGTTGCGAAGTGGCTCCGAAAATGCAGCAAGCCACTACGCTTGCCTGATTGGGAGATTGTCGAGCTCTATGATAATGTTGTCATGGACGAGTCGGACCTGGAGATCCAATCACGAAAGATTGGGTTTTACCCAATGTTTGTGGAGGCTGGCGATATGCTCTGGTGCCGCCGACCCCGTCTTTGGTGGCTTCGAGGCTTGCCTCTGGTTCCTGCAACAGACTTGAGTGTGGCCGAGAAGGTGGAAAAGTCGGCTTCGCCTCATTATGCGAACCTCTCAAAGGTCAAGCGTGTGAAGCTCGCGTGCACCAAGCCGGCGCTGGCTACGGTGTTGGACCCCGGATGCAAGAAGCTGCTGGAGGATGATGAGCCCTTCTTCACCGTCACTCGTCCCCAAGCAAGGACAGCTCCTCCACCTGATCCAGCTGGTTTGGCCGGCTTTCTCAAACCGTCACCTCGAACTCAAGCAGAAGCTCACTGAGGACCAGCGGCAGCAGCTCCTTGCTAACTCCTGGCCAACACCAGTGGTGGCTCGGCTTTTGGCTGCCCTCGTCTTAGATGCTCGGAAGTTGCTGGGCGTAACCTTTGCAACGAGCTTTTGGAGGTGGCCGCCGCTGATGAGGCAAAGACTTCACGCTTGCAGAGCTCGAGCTGGCAAGCCAGGTTTGGACCGGAGGCGGGCAATTTGCCGACGGCTGCATCCCTGCGTGCGCGCGGTCGGGTGCAGTCACAGGAGGTCGCTGGCTTCATAAGGTCCCTTCCTACTTCGTGGGCCGACGAGCAGCTGCTGGTTTACCTGATTTCACAGAATGTCACTCACCGTGGCACGGATGTTCGCTTGTCAAATCAAGCCCCCATGATTGCGTCGGACTTCTGCCGACGGACCGTGGACCCGACTATGTGGTCTTGGAAAGTGGTGATGTCGCATAAGCGGCCGGGCCACATCACTTTGCTGGAGCTTGTTGCGATTCTCGACCTCTTGAAGAGACAGTCGCGGACCAATGAGTGGCACTCCTCCAACGTCCTGGTGCTCGTGGACAACCAAGCTGTCATCGCCGTTTTGGCGAAGGGCCGCTCCAGTGCTCGTCAACTCCAAGGCCCCCTCAGGCGCGTTGCAAGCCTGATGCTTATGGGCCACTTCCGCTTGCTGGTGGCGTGGGTCATGTCGGAATGGAACCCGGCTGATGGTCCCAGCCGTTGGGTTGGGCGCCGGGCGCTACGAGATGCCTAAGCGACAAGTCTTGCAGAGAGCCACCAAGCAAGAGCGGAAAAAGGAGAGGGCAGCACTGGGGAAGTTACGAGCACAAGTAGTATCACCCAAAACTGAACATAGGTACCTTGGCTGTGTTTCACGTTTTCTTTGTTTTCTGAAAACTTCTAAGAAGTCTTATCCTACTTCCTTCTTGCTTTTGGACCGCTATCTTTGTGAATTCATCGAAGAGCTTTGGCATGATGGCGAACCTAAAGGTTATGCTTCGGATGCATTGTCTGGCGTTGGACACTTCATACCTTCGGCAAAGCCTCACATGATTGCTGCCTGGCGCTTACATGCTGCTTGGGGTCGTGCAGAGTTACCTTGCCGAGCCCCTCCTTTTACTGCTGTCATCCTCTATGGCTTAGCGCAAGCTGCCTATAACAAGGGCTGGGATGACACTGCGGTTTTACTTATACTGGGCTTTCATACGCTTGGACGCAGTGGCGAGCTCTTCAGTGCTCAATGCAAGGACTTTGTGTTGTCTGGCACGGCAGGGACATGGACTTTGCCCCTTAGCAAATCTGGTCAGCGCACAGGCATGACAGAATCCATCTTGCTGGATGATGCGTTTGTCTGTAAACTTCTGCAAAACTATTTGCGTCGAAAAGCTCCTGGCGACCTTCTGTCAAAAGTTTCTCCCCAAGTCCAGCGGAAACGTCTTTATGATCTCGTTGAAAGTTTGCAGCTACAAGCTCCATACCGCTGGTACAGTGTTCGTCGCGGTGGGGCCACCCACTTCTTTAGGCAAACTGGCAACCTGGCCCAGATTTGCTTGAAGGGCCGCTGGAATTCGCAGAAAACTGCAAAAAATTACATTTCTGAGGGCGTGGCTCAACTGACTGAGTTGCAACTTCCTGCAACACGACGTCGAGTTATTAAGGCATTGGCCGTTCGTGCACGTCCCTCCTGGCAGAATTTTTTTTGAACCCTCCCACTGCCGCCCATTTATGCTCATCCTACCTTCCTGCTTGAGCGGCTACGTCAATTTCGGGCATAGGCCCTGAACAGGGAAGGGTGGAATAGAGGCTGGCCGGATTGGCAAAGGCATGACCATTTGGTCAGTCAGGAGGGCCCGGTGAGGATGAGTGTTGGTGGCCCAATGCTGGTTCGGGCACATCGTTGAAGCTTTTGTCTGGGAAGGGCGGTTGGCCATTTCACTTCCCTGGACGGGAGCTTCTCTGATGTGTGCGGGCCCTCTTGATTTTCTTGACTTGCGTATGCAAGTACTCATAACTTTCGCTTTCTAGCGCAGCTGTGTGCAAAAAATAGGGCGCAGGGTGCCCAGCAGGAGCACTAGTAAACAGCTCTCTGCATAATAGTGCGAATGCGAAGCACACTAGCATTTCGGGTCACCCACCATCCAAACCCCTGTCACCGCCCAGGGTGTAGCCTCTTTCCGTACCGGCTGGCCGGATTGGCAAAGGCATGACCATTTGGTCAGTCAGGAGGGCCCGGTGAGGATGAGTGTTGGTGGCCCAATGCTGGTTCGGGCACATCGTTGAAGCTTTTGTCTGGGAAGGGCGGTTGGCCATTTCACTTCCCTGGACGGGAGCTTCTCTGATGTGTGCGGGCCCTCTTGATTTTCTTGACTTGCGTATGCAAGTACTCATAACTTTCGCTTTCTAGCGCAGCTGTGTGCAAAAAATAGGGCGCAGGGTTCCCAGCAGGAGCACTAAGATTAGTCCGGATAAGAGAAAAGCTCACGTGTACACATGCCTAATCTACATACACACACATAGATATACATATATATATATATATGTTAAAATGCTAGAGGGTGGAGGGTGTTCAGCACTACTCCTATGTGGAGGAGATCTTAGCAAGGGTCCACAAAGAAAATGCACGATGGATGCACGACACATTCAATTTCCCGAGCGTGGCCACAGCTTGTAGATTGTGAGCTGTCACAAGCGCTGCTGGCCTGTTCAATATCTCGAGTTAGGATGGATGGCTGGCGCAGCAGTGCAGACTGGGCATAGACGGCGTCCGCCTTATCACCGATGTGTTTGCTGCAACAATTGTTGCCTGCCACGGTCGAAGCTGACGTTGCTCGGCATTCTAAGGAAGACATGACATCAAAGAAGATCTATATGCGCTAGATCACTTCTTCGTGAAGCCTGCCACAGCCGGCATGGAGGACATGGCCAACGTGACGGCGGGCCCTGAGGGACTGTTTGAGCTGGCCGATTTCGTGCTGGTTTAGCTTGGATTTGGACACGGTGATTATCATGATTATCATGAAGATCAGATGCATAGCGCACGTGCATTTGTCGCAGCAATATGCTACTTCTTCCTTACACTAGTTAGTCTCTTTCTTCCCTCGAGTGGTTGCTTGAATTTTGCAAAACTGTTTTTTCTGCGCAGGCACCTGCCATCCCACCCGATGTGCTGAAGAGTGCAGCCGTTCCACTACGTCCAAGGCATAGTGTGTCTTTTGCCCAGCTGATGAATGCCAATGGCCAGACATGCAATTTCTTCGTGAGCCATTGCTGGTCTCACCCATTTACAAAGACGCTGATCGCCCTGAACTCGGCTGCAAAGCGCTGGAAAGATGGAGAAACCACAAAGGTTGCCTTTTGGATATGCCTCTTCGCATTGAACCAGCATGACTTGGATGGAGAACTTGGGGGATGCGAGCTGGCTCGCATGCCCTTCGCCTACGGCCTCTCCAAGGCATTGCAAGGCGTTGTCATGGTGCTCGATGAGAGGGCAGAGCCGTTTCGAAGGATATGGTGTCTTTACGAGGCTTGGTACCGCACTGAGGAGGGTCTTACGTTATTGGCGTGCTTGGAGGTGCAGCGCGCCTGGGAGCTAGACAAGGACCTGCGATTGATCACGGACTGCGCTGAAGGAGAGGGGCTTCACATCTGAAAACTCCCTGAAACTACCAAGCCGCCTAAACCTGGAGGTGTCAGAATGGACGAGCAGGAGGTCTCCGGCCAATTCGCCCTGACTGTGGCGGAGGAGCTTCAGAGCATCAGCGCTTTTGACGCTCGCTCCAGTGCCTCCCCTTCTTGGCCTATCTTGGCCTCAGCCTTCCCAGTCTAGCTCTCCACAAGGTACCAGCAGTCCTATGAGCTTCTAAAGGACAGTCTGGATTTGGGTAGTGCAGGGGGTCCTGACATGGGTGGAATGGTATTGCACAAGAGTAGAGGAAGCCCCTTTGACTTTGCATCAAAACCATGCCAGTCTCCATTGTAGCTCCAAATCCGAATGTATTCTTTTCCAAGGCGCCCTTCGTGACAAGATCAATATCTGGCACAAGATCATGAATGGGTCCGTGAAAGCTGCTTTCCCTGTCGACATTTTTCGCACGCATTTCACTTCAGGCTTGTGCAGTATCCGCGGCTTCGGGAAAGCCTGGTTTACCGAGTTTGATGCAGGTGTTTGCAGACTGCTGGCCACTCCTGTTTTCAATTTTAGTTTGGCCAACTCGGACCTGGAAGTGGCTCTGAGATATCTTGGACTTGGGGCTCAATGTTCCCCTGATGACTTGGACCAGCTCTGCAGATGCCTTGTCGCTGCCGATTTAGCGCCGCCGGACCAGGCCTTCAGTGAGGCAAAATCATAGAAATCAAAAAAGGCTATGAAAGTACCGCACCTGCTGGCTTCAGGTTTGGGTCAGTAACCCTTCGTGCGGACACTGCCAGCTGACGCACGTGTACGCGCATTTTGGAAGCTCCGATCTCCTTGATTTCCTCTTGAAAGCTCGTGCAGAGCCCTACATGCAATCAGCACATGCAGTTGTTGCATCCAAGGAGGTTACTTGGCTATAGACTGTAGCCCTGCCGGGGCAAGGGTTAGACTGCTGGTGCAGCCTTCACACCCAAGGACCCTTTGTGCCAAACGCAAAATGTAAAGTACCGACAGCCACTGCACTTCGCAGCTAAAGCTGGTCACCTTCAGTGCACCTTGTCTAACATCCCTGCCAATCAAGGCATGGCATATCATATGTCAAGTGGCTTGGTGAGCTTCAAGAAGTGGCATGTAATGTAGTGTCTGCGGATGCAGAACTTGTAAGGTACAAGACTTCTTCTAAGTGCGCGGGCACATGCTCATTGCCTGGACAAGAATGGGGAAACGCCTTTACAGATTGCTGCGTATGGAGGCCCAAAGGCTTCAGGCTAGGCGACTACATAATAAGCCCGCACTTGCAGGCCACCGGGAAGTAGCGGCCGAGCTTCTTCAATCCAGGGCCTGGGCAAATTCGGCGGACGGAGACCATTGGACGCCTTTGATCTGTGCAGCAAGGGCAGGCCACGCCTCCATTGTGGAGACTCTTGGATGCAGTTGCTACTTGCGCAATGAGGGCCTGTGAAGGTCACAGGTGGCCCAGACTTCTGCACGTACATTCCCAATTAAGCGCCTTGTTCTCTAGTGACTCTTTAGTGGGAAGCTCCTCCGGAGGGTCTCGCCCTGGCCAGTCCTGGCTAGTCTGTTTTGTGGCTGCACTGTGCAGGGAGTGCATTGCACACCAGGCTGCTGATGGCACACAAGGCTAATGTGAAGGCGGTGGACAGCATGGGTCGTTCCGCGCTAAAGCACGCTCAATTGGCGCATCACAGTGAGGCTGCAGCAAGACTGGCGGTAGCCACTCGAAAAATGGACGGCATAGACGAAGAAGAGGAACATGAGGAGCCGGAGGAGGTGGAAAGAGTTGGCTTTTTAACCCAGTCCCTTGGCATTCAGAGCCATTTCTGAAGCTGTTTCATCAGATATCCTGCTGCTAAGCAGTATGAGAAAATCTGATGGAAGGAGGAGCTGCAGGTACAGCGCCTCTGGCTATGTCGCAGTGCAACCGACGAGCTTGCCGCGAAAACTAAGAAAACGTGCTGCCAACCTCACCAGCCAAAGAGCAGTTGAGAGCGACAATTGAGATGGACAGTTGCCGACTTTCGATAGAACATGCAGTAGCCAAGGCTAGGCACTCTTTGCGGCAAGCCCGAACTACGCTCAGGTGGACTACAGCGCCTCAGGCGGCCATCTGCTCATGACAGTGCACCAGAAGGCAACGTTTTGTTTTGGGGGGAGCCTAAAGCGCAAACAAAGCCCCAGTCATTCTTTCAAAACAGGAGAGAGCTGAAGCTATGAAGATATCCCGCCGCAGAGCAGCAACAGATTACCACAGGTGGGTGGGGTAGAAAGTTGAAATATATGAGGTGCTTGCAGGGTGTGACCCCGATGCAACACAGTCCGAGAACGGCGTGTGCAGCACGAGAATGCTTCCCTTTCAAGCAAAGATGGCCCCTGACAGCTTAGGTATGATTGTGAATTTCGCTGCATGCTCGGGTGCCGATGTTTTAGTCCCTCGGCAATGGCATTTAGGGCAGTGCTTGCTTTTGGAGCGGAGCCTGGTTTCTGGGGCAACGGCAAAATTTGTCACTGGGCAAGTGGAAGCCCATTTGTAAAAAAAGGCCAGCTGGCGGCTTTGACGGGCTGCCAAAAAGTCGACAGTGGGACCCAACCCAGATCGCCCAAGTCTTCTTCACTTTATGTGCCTTTGTGCACCTCCAAAATCGACGCAAGACAAGTCTGGCTGCCCGTGAGGTGATGGGGAGCACTGGCTGCAAGGACGGGATGCCAGCACATCGTTGCAAACCGCAAGGACTAGATGGCGATGTGCGATCTAGCAGGACACCGGCTCCTCGAACTTTCGGAGAACCACGCTGGGCTCATCTGCTCATCTGGCCGCTTTAGAGGCCTCAAATGAAGGCATGACTGGGTTTGAGTACGACTGAATGCCTGAAGGCACCATGCACAGTGGTGCTCATCCGGCCTGGGTGCAGAGTTGATCCAAAGCTGGCAACAGTCTTCATGGTGGCCGCGCAGCTTGCAAGACTCGTAGTAGTGTTCAAGAGTAGTCCTATCCGAACAGCTCCATGAATGTAAGCTTCAATGCCAATCGCTTGATACCGAGGCTGTGGACGGAAGCTACCATTCCAGCTACGCGCTTCAGCTATGCACGGAATGGGCTCGTCCAGACAAGGAGCAAAGCGTTTGCACCAGCTGCGAGGTGAAAGCTTCTTTTTGGCAGACATTTTGTTGCTAGGATGAAGTTGTCTGCCGAGTTTTCGGCCCGCCTGAGTTCACCGAGTCAGTGGAGAGGAGACAGAGTGTTGAAAATGTTCATGTTCAGTCCTGGCCATGGAATACAGGGGCCTGCAGCGCAGGCTGTGTACAGATCAGCTACAGGCAGTCATGCGAGACAAGAAGGCCCGCCATCCGCAATACGGCATGGTCCAAAAGGCCTATAGGGGGCCAAGCTTGCGAGCTCAGGTCGAGTATGCTGTGATTCCAACGGAGCTCGACGAGACAGCGGACGTGCACGGGGACGACCTGAGTGATACGGCTCAGCAGTGCCGATTCCGCCTTGCCCCTAGAGCCATGCAGAAACTGTCGAAAGCAAGTCTACGGGCGACGCCAAGCGTTTGTCAAGGACAGCAGGCTTTCTTAGTGTTTGGAGCACGAGGGCGCAACTCTGAAGGCCAGGCAAAAGCAGTGCGGTTCACTTTGCATTCAAAGGCTTTGTGTTGTAATTTTTGTAGCAGGAGGCACAGATCCCTCGTCTCCAACCCTTTCTGCATCGGAACCTGGATCTCCCGCGGCAGATGTGCCAACAACTTTGGGTCATGTTGCCCGCTGGTGCATCAAAGAGGCCAAGTGGTTGCCTTGAGTTGCGTCAAGGCGGAGCTCAGAATCCGTCACGCGCCTTGACAGGCTCAATGCAGCCTCATCATTGCTCGGCCAAAGCTTTGGAAGTCGCCAACAGGCCTTGCGAGCAAATCCGCAGACTTCGCGTGATTTTGTGACTGAAGTGTTGCTGTCCAGCGATCAGGTCTTGTAATTTTGCGGGCCTCATCCTTGCCATGAAGTCTGATGCGCTGTCGGACCATGGACTGAGGCACAAGTCTGGCATAGAGGTCTGAAAGACCGAGCCAACAAGTCCCCGATTCTCAAGTATCTGAACTCTCATGTAGGGCAGAGGTCCTCCGTAAATCGCGGGACTAGGAGGCTGAAGTACATTGAAGTGCCTTTCTGGGTACTGAAGCGCAAAGGACCCCGGCATGAGCGCTGAGGTGCTTGTGCGGTTTGTACAGTATGTCATGGCTATTGTCAAGACACAAGTGCCAAGGGCATCCGAGGGCCAAGGGGAATTCAGGAGGGAACTTTACGTCATTCTATGAGATTCCAAGATGGCATCAGATAAACATGAGGGCTCTGCAAGTGATTTCCCGCGTGGCCATGCAAAGCATGGTCGACGGATGTCGAAGAGTCAGTGCAGCTCGGGCGCTCCAAGCTGCGGCAGGCTTCAACCACAGGGCCCCAGCCGTTCCCATGCGGCTAAACCCGCGACCGGAGCCGCCGACTGATGAAACACGTGCGCAAGATGTTTGATGATTGTTCTTGTCCTTCTTCAGGTCTACATTACATGACACCAGCATTGGGCGGAGGGTTTTGCTGAGAAGTTCACTGTCGCCTTTGCATCAGGCTTTGCCAGCAACCTCAGCAACAGGCGAGCAGGTTGCTTTTCAAGTCAATGCAGGCCTGGCGGTTTGTTGGTGGACTGACTGCACAGAGGCAAGCCGCACGCATTTGCGAGCACCTGCTCCAAAGCTAGACTTTGCATGCAGTATCTTGGATTTCATGTTGTCCTGCTACTAGTAGTTGTTGTTGGGTTGTTCTTCGTTGCTGATCAAGTTGACGCTTCTCTGGTTTTTGCTTGTGGACTTGCTACCACAAATTGTCCAGACTAGACCAACATTTTGGGAAGGGTATCATCTCACTGGCAGTGCACATCTTTTCAGTTCTACTCGTCAGTGCAAGTGACGGGGTCGGCGGCAAATCGACTTGGCAGGCACGCCGTGGCAGTTTGTGGGCGAGGATGCGACAACCTTCAGGCAGGTGCAGGTTACATGGCATAAGCTTTAGCATGCTGCCATGATGCTGTGAAGATGGGGATATCTCAAAACAGGACTGGGCATATTCACAAACTCAAACTGTTGAACTGCTTCAAACTACATCTGCGTAAGAACTTGAACCACAGTTGGGTGATGTTGGGTGCAGTTGCGGAGAGAGTGAGAGGTATGGTCCTGAATCAGCTGCTGTGTGTTTGGTAGCACATTGGTCCAGGTGGCAACTGCAAGACCGCGATGCTGTCTCTGAGCAGGACAAGAGGCTAGGCTCAGCTTTGCGAGCTTGCTGCAGCTGAGTCATGTGCTTGAAGAGATCGGGAATGACCCAGGAATTCTGAGACTCTCTCTGCAGTCCGGGTTCAAGGGCTTGCAGGCAGACAGTGCGCAAGGGGTGAGGCTTCCTATGATTCTGGCATGGAGCCCAAGTGGCCCTGTGCGTCGCCTGCGTGCTAGCTGGGATACTGCGCGGATCCCTATGCCAGAGATGTATGTTTGGGCTGCGGGGCTTGCGCGCAGCCATTCGCAGCAAGACACTTTGCAATGAAGATGCGGCATCGCGTCTGCTAAATGCACTTTCAGTCCAAGAGCCGACAACCGCTATCCTCATTGAGGCGGGTCAAAAGCGCAGGTATTGGCCACTGGATTTTGCGCAGCAACAGAAAATCCAAACTGACAAAGAAAAGAAATTCCACATTTTCTACAGCCCAAGATTCAAAGAAATGTCAGGGGGTCTCTTCCTTCCCCGATATTCGTCACATTGAGGGTTTCGAGGCCAAGCCCGCAGTCTCATATTGTTAATCCGCTGTTGTTTCTCAGGTAATTAGTGCTGCCCGTGTAGTTTGGTCAGTCACTACATGTCTCTCGGTTATGTTCAGCATGAGGCTTCCGGGCTTGTTGGTCCACTGGGGAAATCACGCTTGCCAATTGTTTGTTCGGTATTTGTTCTATATATGCAAAACAGATGTTATGTGCTTACCCCTTTCCCTGAATCAGGCCAGTCTTTGTGTGAATGAGCTCAGCAAGGCACCCAAGGACATCAGTGCAGAGAAATGGGAAGCTATTGCCCGACAGTTTGTTCCGAACTTCACGAGCATGTCCGCAAGGAATTTGACTTTGCTTATAAACGCACTGTCCCACGCGAGAGTGCCAAAAGAAGGCTGGGCCTCAGCAGCGTGGGCTGCTGCAAAGAAAGTGCCAACGCGCGGCTTTTCTGCTCAGGATCTTTGCTTGCTTCTGAGTTCTATGGTGCGTTTGTCTTGCTATGAACAAAGTCTTGTTCTCAGGCTGCTTGCAGAGGACTGCCCACCTCGTGTGTGGGACCTTGAAGCACGCGGCATCACTGGTTTTGCCCACGCAGTCACAAGGTTGGGGCAAGATGCAGGGGCCAAGCCCCAGGCTGAAGCTCTCATGCAGGAGCTGCTCCCGAAGATGCGGATATTGCAACAAGACCTGTTGCCGCTGGAGCTTGCCCTTGCAGTCGATGCGCTATCGCGTTATGGCACTGGAACAGAACCTCTTGTACACGGTGAGCCGCAGTTGCCGACGTGGGCAGATGTGGCAATTTCCGATCTAGAAGAAAGCCTCGCAGCCGGCCTGTCTCGTTTGAAGCCACTTGAGGTTGTAATGGTCATCTCTGCTCTCTCCAGGCGCGGGTATGTTGCCAGCGACGGCCTTGCCACGGGCCTTTCTCATGCTGTCACCACCCATTTTGCAAGGTGGCCAGCTGAAGAATTGTGCATTGTGGTACATTCGGCGGCAAGGCTTGGTTTGCCTGGCTTAGTTGATGGCACCAAAGCCCCGGTCCCGTCAATCCTTCAGCACGTGGAGGCAAACGTGGCCAAGGGATACTTTCTGACAGAATGCTCTCCGGACCATGCTGTGTTGCTGCTGCATGGACTGGCGAAGTTGCTGGTTCAGCCGACTGCAAGGCTGTGGGCATCGCTCTTGAACACGGCCAGGCAGAAGTTTACTCGAGCCACTGCCATCCGTCTTTCCTTGGCTGCTGCAAAGTTGGATTTCAAGCATGACGCCGTTCGCGGCACCCTGAAGCAGATCGTTGTCTCTGAACCACTGGGAGCCTTGTCCGATGATGCCTTCGCCGCGGTGATTTCTGCACTGATGCATCCCTTCTATTGTCAGGGCAAGTTTACATTGCAGCTTCTACTGCACATGGCCAGCTCACGACATGTGAAAACACAGAGCCTTGCGCTGCAGACTCGTGTGGGGCTCATTGACTTTGCGTTCCACAGTAGGCTTGAAAGGTGCTCTTTGGCGGAGATCCTCTCGCTAGCAGAGCTTGAAGTGAAGACAAGTGAGAAGCCAGAGTGGTCTCGGAAGCTACTTTCGCGCCCTTCAGCCCTGCAGTCAGATGTCCACTTTGAAGTAAATGCAGTGCTAGGTCGCCAGAGAGTGGATGCAGAGATTCTTATTTGGCCGTTTTGTATTGACCTTGTGTGGTTGCGTGAAAAGGAGAGCCTGCCAGCCGGGAATGGAAGTCCTCTTCTGCTAATGCCATCTGCAACCGCAGGGAAATCCGCGAGATCTTGCAGGCGTACGCGCAACAGCCGGCGCCCGATTTGACTTGCCCTGGACTGACATCCGGATCATACATTGGACACGGATCTATTTGAGCTCCTGCTGGAAAGACAATCCAAGGCATGGCATTCCTCTCAGGCCTGTGCGTTTTGGCACCTGTGTTTTTGTGTTGAAGTGCCGGCGCATCCAAAAACGGCAGAAGCTTGAAGGGGACCAGAAGCAGTGAAGTTGGCCCTGCGACGTGGCCGACACTGGGTGCCCGAATCTTGACAAGTTGTAACGGAAGTTCCCAGTAGATCATTCCGTGCCCCAGGTCCTATGCAGGCGGCATCTCCTCGGTTGACGGTCGGTGAGTGTAGATGACAGCAACTAGGCAGTTATAACCAACAGGCAACCTGGGCCATGTGCTGGATCAAAATGCTGCGGATAGTGTTGTGGCACAGGCATGTCGAAGAGATGACTTCAAACTTTCACTACGGTACATGAACATTTGAATCTTACCATGCACTGTGTTAAAAGCCAAGCAGCTGCCCCCATGTCGGTGCATCTCGTGTTGCTTGCAATAGTGGGTACCATGCTGTGGATTCTTGTGGGTGTCAAGTAAAAACCGCAATCTAATCCTCAGCTCCACGGTCAGTAGCATCTCATCCTTGAAACGTGATCCATCGCCACCTCAATGGGAATCGGCTGGTTTCTGTTCCGCATCACAGATTGACAAGCAAACTGACAAGCAACAAAAAAGCGAGCCAGTGTGCTCAGCCATCATGTCCGTACATACAGGAAAGCTGTCAAGTGCCCCTAATAGATGGTTGGTGCCGCCCAAGAACACTCACGGCGTTCGTAAGCCTACGCCGAGCCGCTAGGACTATCTTGATCAGATGCTTTAAGAGGTACGGACAATCAAAAGCCCACTTGTAGTGCAACCGAAGTACAGTTTGCCGAACATGCGCTTTTGCCATTGGCAAACCCAACTCTCAGTGTCGCTTCAAAAAAGATAGTCAGAAAATAAACTGCAGTGCGAGGCGTGCAGAGCCCACATGCTGCAAGCAAGTAGCCCCTCAGCGCAGACATGGCTGCCGGACGTGGTGAAATTGACTTCGGCCTGGGCCGGGTTGTTACCGCCTTGGAGCGCCTGGGTTCACCGCAGCTGTCGCTTGCCGGCCGCGTGCTGCACGTCGCCGGCACAAACGGCAAAGGAAGCGCAGCTTGGAGCGAAGCAGTCCGGCAGTCAAGATGCAGCGCGCAACGCGTGAAGTCTCCAGGTCTGTGCCATGCTGTTTGCGGCTTTGAGGCCTGAAAAAGCTCTTGTTCCATGGATGCACGTTTCAGACCTTGAAGGCAAGCGCGCGTGCGTGTGGCAATGTTCACATCCCCTCATTTGGTGGAGCCTTCGGATGCTTTTCGTTTAGCCGAGAAGGGCCAGGCCTGGTTTGCCTTCTGCATACCCAGCCAGACTCAAATGCCTCAAATGTTGAGGATACAGCTTTCTCTCGAGAGCTTTTTGCATCTCTCGAAGCGGAGATTGCTGAAGCCTGTGGCTTGAGCGAGCCAGAGGCAGACACGAAGCCGCCTTCTCAGCTCTAGCAAGTGTAGGATCAGTCTCGCTCAGTCCTTGCCCGCGTATTAGGACACTGTCATTGACGACCTTCGAGCTTCAAGTCGTCAAGGCGCTGACTCTCTTTGCTCGTCAGCAGGTGACTTGGGTGCACCAATGTGCATATTTAACGACGTGGTCTGGAAGTCATATCCTAAATCAGGTTGACATCGCTATTCTGGAGGCTCTTGGGCTGTCAAGTTCTGCTTGTAGTCTAGCGCTTGCGGTGCTGGGCCTTGTGCGCTTTGCCATTTGGGTGTCGAACTAACCCTGGGAAAACCTTTGCGGCCAGTGAGTTCCCGAGCCTTGAGGTGGACGGCCGTGAAGCAGTCAGATTTGGAAGGCCAAAGCAAGTCATGGCAGACGTTTTTTTTCTGGAACGCAGAAAGCAGCGACAAACGCAGCTAGAATGCCAACAACGGTACGGGAGGAACCGAACATCATAAGTGATCTTGCCCTTCGTGCATTTTTGGGGGGAAGTGCTACGGAAACCGTTGAAAAGGGGGCCGACCAGCCACTATATAGTTCATGAGCAGAAAGCACGGCGGCTTACCCGACTCGTGAGCAGAGATGTTGCAAGACAGGGAGGAAAGCAAAGAACTGCGAACAGAAGCTTCAAGTAGGATGCAAACCTGCCGACGGCAGCTTTGTGACAGTTGCCTTTGGAGGGGCTCCCTGACCTGTGGATTGAAGCAAGAATCGCAGGTGCGGTATGATGTCTGTGCGATTGGCCCTTGCGTGCGCTTACAAGGTGGAGGAGGAATTCAGAGCCAGGAAGGCGAAATACCTGTTGTTTTTCCTCTCACGGGGCTTCTGCAGAGAAGTCTACCTTTTGACTTGCGCTAGCCGAAGAACAATGTTTGTCGAGCGACGACTCCCAAACAAAGCTGTGCCGTTGTATGCCAAGTGATGGCTTCCTTGCTCTGCTCGCACATTTTCTACTAGCAGGAGCCAAGCCACCAGCAAGTATTCACGGTTCACACGCCGCACACGCTACTCACTATTCTGGGCGTGCATGGTTGTGGAGTGAAGCGGTTGGCTTCCAACTGATTTCAGATCGTTCGAGAAAGAACTTAGAAGGCAAGTGCTACGCAGCTGCCGCTGCAAAATGCCGCAAGGTTGGTATGGGCGGCCGCGAAGATGCCACTAATGTCCTCATGCAGCCAGCCGCATCTTGGCGTTATACGATTTCAAGAAGTTACAGCCGTAGTGGCTTTCAGCCAATTATCTTCTCATGGACTGCAGGCATGTGCCATCTCCAGCATTGACATGGACCACGAGAAATTTCTTGGTCCCACACGCGAGGACATCGCCAGTCACAAAGCCTATTACTGAGAGTTTGAAACAACTGCTGTTGGACTTGCAGAACCTAAGAGAAGTGCAATAGTGAATCAGCTGAGGCAGGTATATTCCAGACGGGCTGCCCTGCTTTGGTGGCGGTGTCCGGTATGTCAGAGAGCGTGCCACCCCTCGGCAGATTTTTGCTCCATGATCTGTGGTAGGGCCCTGAACCTGGACGCTCTCCCATCGTAAGGTCAAAAGAGTCATCGGTGACTGCGCGCATGCAGTCTGCACCAAGTCTGGCTATCCTGATTGCAAGCTGCATCATTACGAAAGTTGTGGGGGGAGGAGCTACATGCAAGCCATTTCTTTCTGTTGTCTGTGTCAAGATAGAAGTTCTTGGAGGATTCATTTGCTGCTGGCTTCAGGTCTAGCAGTCAAGTTGCAGGAAAGGGCCGGTCATGGGCCACGTTGCATGTCCAAACTTGCCATGACTTTCCAGATGAAGGGGACTTCTTTGCATAAATCATCGAGAGTGAGTACGGGGGACGTGGCCAGCCAGATAGTTGGACCAATGTGGGAAGTCCGGCCGTTTCCGGGCAGGGGGCTCGGTGTGTGCGCTCAGCGTGACCTGGAACGGGGCGAATGCATTCTGAGCGATCCTCTTCAGATGTTGTTTTCTTGGGTCAGGGCCCTACCCTAAGTAGCAGGAATGTTGTTCGGTGCGTTGCTGGGCATGTAAGGAGAAAGCAATTTTCCGGATCCAGAGGAGCAAAGTTCCTCTTGTGGGAGGCACGCGGCAAAAGTGTGAGGCCGCTTTGCTGGAAACGCTTTCAGGTCTGAGCGCAGATAGCCAGCGGCAGTTCTGGAACCTGGAGGATTGCTTGGATTCTCGGAAATCTGCGATCGGTATCTGCCGCACGAACACGTTTACCCAAAATGGGAACGCAGACATCTTGGGTTGTTTTCTGCAAGCGGCACGCTTCAACCACAGCTGTCGCCCCAATGTCGTGTGGTACTGGGGAGATCAGCCTGAATCAGTCCTGAAGATGCATGTTACGAAGAATTGCAAGAAAGGGGAGGAACTTTGCATCAGCTACTTACCGGATCTTGAAATGTCGATTGATCAGCGACGCGCGCGTTTGCAGCACTCCCATCATTTTTTATGTCAGTGCGAAGTCTGCAGCGAACCGTCAAAGACAAGGAAAGCGGAGAGCGAAGCTCTTCGTGCAGAGTTTCGTGCGCTTGACCAGAAAGTGAAAGAGCTGATTCGCAAGGATCCTGAAGAGGCATACCAGGTCACATGCCGTATGTCCACGATCATTGATACAGAGCTGGGAAGTGACCTTTGGCTACACTCGCGGACCTTGAATGACGCCTTCCATGCTGCACTTGTTTCCCGAAACCGTCTTCTGGCCTCGAAGACGATGGAGAAGGCCATCGAAGCGTGGCTATTGGCTGGTGGAGACTCCGATGAGACACTTCTCCGAGAGATGCGGGGGTACGCTGAATCTTGGCTGCGTAACATGAGAAACAGTTGTATACCAAGCCTGTAAGAGATGGACGCTGCAGGAGAATCCAGCTTCCCATCGGTTCTGGTGCTTGGGTAAATGCTCCTTATGGCGCGGAGCCACCCGTTTGCAGAAGGATGACCTGGGCTCAAGATTGCAAAAAAGGCTGCAGAAGAGCAGGACCTTGGTGCTTGCTTCACAGCAGCCAAATGCTCGTTTGCCGAGTGTGTCAGACAATGCAGCCAGGCCTGTCGTCTGGGTCGAGCCTGCCGAGGCCCTGTGCATTTTGTGCTGGGTGATGTAGGCTTTCCTCCTTTGCTTTTTGGAGGTGGTTGATGAAAGCACTGGCCAGCGAGGCACAACTGCTTGTGCAAGCAGGGAGCGTTGGACGGGGAAGGTTCGGTTGCGTGGTGCTTGACATTCTACTTGCTTTTCGTCTACTTTGCCCTGGTATCAGTACGTCCGTTCTTGGATATTGGTTTCCCATGTTTCCATCTAGCCAATAGTAGCACTACCAAGCATGATGCCCGAACTATCCTGGACTACTCGGGCAACGAGAACTCTTCCTGAAGAGGCCATCTGCTGAATCACGTTCTGATTTTTAGATGCCTGACCTGATTTCTCAATTATGGTGCTTCATGCTTTTTGTTCAATGACCATCTTCCAAGCTACATGCCTTTTCCTTTGCCCGCAAAGTACGCACCAACAAATGCAAGCATCCGTTTCTGTAGGGAGCGCAGAGACACACGCGACTCACAAGCCGTCGCCTGGCCAGCTGAAGGGCATACTTTATACACAAAAGCGTCAAGAAATGTAGCCAGAGACGGAAACAGAAGGGCTCGCAGGACCTGGCCCCATTGAGAAGCTGGGGCCCTTCCACGCAGCGTGCCTCAGGCGAGATAGCGCAAGCCCAACGATTGCGGGTCTCCGCCTCGCAATTTGCTTCTGGAGGCCCTTTTACATTGCAAGTTCCCCTGTATCAAATCGTGAAGGTCCAAGGCTTCAGCCAGGAGCTCCACATTCCGCTGCTAGGCGCGAAGCGGTAGAACACTGCAGCTTGCACGTGTTTACCTGCAGCAGACCAAGCTAGTGATAGCTAGTTGAGGCGACTACCAGCGCTCAAACGCTGCATTGGCCTTGGCTGCTGCCTCGGGATATGTCTTTCCTTCATCTTTGTGCGTGGGAAACCTGCAATCTCAAGGCTGTCTTGCTGGAGCTGCGGAATCAGAAGCTTCAACTGCGAAGCACCGCTCAAAGATGCCGCTTCACTCCGCGAGCGCTCGACCCAATCCCTTGGCTGCAGGCTGCGAGCAACTGCTCGACGCGTCTTTGCTGGATGATGGCATCCCTCTGTGTTTAATCTGAAGCGGTCTGTGAGGATCTGATCTTGCCCATGGCCCCGTAGGCACGATTGCGGCTGGCATGGCTACTACACGGTGGCTTGGTCCTTGGCTTCCCGTTTGTGTCAGATCTCCTTTACAAAGAAGCTCGGAGCTTACATGAGCTTGCAGGCCCGGACGCTTGGAATGGCTGGAATTGGGGACTGGTCGTGTGCTCCTTGACGGGGCGCACAACCCCCATGCTGCGGCAGCATTGGGACGCCGGGAGCCCAGGCAGTGTTGCACGCAAGCTTGTGCGCCTTCAAGCTCATCAGGGTACGTGGACGATGCCGTCCGGCCACGAGGGCTACCTGTTTCTTGGGCATCCACCTGAGTCAGTCTCTCTTGGTCATAAGCTTGTGACCAGGTGCAAAGTGGATGCAGCATGAGCTGGCTCAAACTCAGCAGAAAAAGGATTATGGAGCAGATAAGGCTTGCCTCTCATGCACATGAAGGCTGTCAACATGCAGTGTGTCCGAACTTGAAAGTGCAAACCAATAAGCTGTCATCTCAAGCTTCACACAGCACCGGAGAGCGCTCACCCGGTATGCCGTTGCGAGCTAGCCATCAGCACCGTTTCGCTACATCTGCTCTCCGGCAGCATGCAGAGTCTTCGGACCATAGGTCAAATGTATTTGAGAGAGTTAGTAAATCAGGGCTCTGTGAAGCATGATGGAGGAGGCATAGAGCCAGTTCGCTGGAAAACCGACACCTAATGTGAAAATCGATGCCCCTTATGCTTTTGTACTCTTATGTTGCAAGTATCGGTATACCGTGGAAGGTACCTTAATAAGTAGGAATATGGTCCTTGTAAATGTAATGGAAGGCCCCTGAATAAGTAAGAATGTGCTTCCATTGCACATGCGAGAGAGGAATCTGCAGCGGCACGTGCGGTTGAGTTGGCTCAAAAGCTCAAAGGCTATGGGTGTGGAGTCACAACTCGGGAGTGCCAAAATTGTATTTTGGTGTATGACGTAGACCGATACCCAAACCGATACCCAACCGATACGGCAAATGGCGACGAAACCCTCAAATGAAGGGCACCGGCCATTCCTTGCTTAGCCTAGTAGTTTGCCATGGCAAGTTGTTACTTTTTGCCACCCTTCGCAGCTTACAGGAGAAGGTGAGTATCGGTTGCTAGGGTTTAGGGGCTTAGGGGTGAGGGTTTAGGCCTTAGGATATTCGACCAAAGAGTAATTTCAATGCCACAAGACCGCTGATCTAAGTACACCCTACCGATAGGTCCTTGTTTTGTTGTGGCATTTTCCTCGCGAAGCCGATACCTAATGCGAAAACCGATGCCCAAAATCCTATGTCACACTTCGGACCTCCGAATATTCGGAGCTGCTCATTTGCTGTAATTCAAGGCACCACGTGAGCTTCAATCTCGGCGTGCCCATAAAACCACCCCGAACCCCAGGCCTACACTTCTAGGCTTCTAGGCTGTCATAGCGCAAGCGCTACTACGCTTTGGATTTACCTTGGGCATTGTAGTAAAGGTGGTTCCACGCGACCGTTTCGCTCACTTCGGGCATTGGAGTTCTTGGCTAGTTGCCTGCAGGCTTTGCTGGAGTCCACGAAGGGGCATGTGTTGCGGCAATGAAATACCAAGCCTAGGCCTTGCCGAAGCTCCAGGTTGCAAACGAAGCAAATGGAACAGCTAGGTGCAATGTGATGTAGTGGCTGCCGCATGTTTGAGGCAGTTGTTCTCGCGCTCTGGTTATCATGCTCGTTCGCAACGTTCAGCTCGCGGGGATCCTACCAGAAAGGCCTGCAAGGCATGCGGGCGTCTGGCGTGACACGCAGAGCTACTGAAAGAACTGCGAGGCGCCCTCTTGATGCTGAAGGCAGGTAGAGTTTGGAGAACAAAATCTGACCTGTTTTTTTCCAAACGCAGGCGGTATTTAGGTTCCTGATACATCTTGGGTATAAGCCTGCCTAAGCAGAGTAAAAACGCGGTCAGATGCTTGCTTGCAGCTTGCCTGCACCAATCCAGGCTTTGAATTTACTCCTGCAAGCCCAGAATTTTCAACCTGGACCCCGAATCTCGCAGCATGCCAAATAGCTTAAATAGCTGGTCTCAAATCCAGACTTCCGGGAGCTCTTGGAACAGCCCGACGGCGCCAACAACCTGCAGAGTATTCTTAAAGAGTTGATGGAGGATGAGGACCAGCTGAAAGAGTTCAACTCCACTTTTCAGCAGATTGCTGCTGCACAAGAAGGCTCTGAAGATGCTGATCCGTTGGCAAAGTTCCTTTCAGATCCGCAGGCGGTCTGGTCTTGGCTTCAGTCCAACGACAAGACAGCAGAGCTTGTGCAGATCATGAGAGGTTCCATGCTCTTCGACAAGCTAATGAAGTTTGGAAGTGAGGTTCTGGAACGAAGGCAGGTGGCAGAGCTTGAGCCTGGGTCCTTGGTGGAGATTTCAGGCCTGAAGACAGCCGACCATTTGAACGGCCTAACTGGCACCCTTCGTGAAGCCACAGAGGAGGAAGTACAGGAGCATCCAGGTAGGCGAATCCTCGAGCTTGAGGATGGCAGCAGAGTAGCGGTCCAGACGCGAAATCTGATTTTCCCTCGGCATAAACCTGGGGATGCGGCCGCTTGGCCCAACGAAGATGAACTTTTTCCAGTGTCTTCCACACTTGCATGCTCAGCACGTCTCAAAGCACACTTCTGAGGTGACGCTAGATGCAGAGTTTGAGCCTGGAACGGAGCATGAGGGTCTGGAAGGCAGGGCTGGCGTTGTGTCTTCATTGACCGAGGAGGCCTTGGGGCCAAACTGAACTCTCGGCTCTCTCTAACAGCTTCACGTGCGCTACTTAACTTTACTGATGCAGCTTGAGTGAAGGAACGTGAGCTCGGATTCGACGAGAACTCTGGACGCGTTGTCGTGGATGTCCTCAGCTTGCTGCCCGGTGGACCCATCATTCACCGGATCCTGATCTGGCCAGAACACCTGAAACGCCGACCTTTTCAGCCTGGCGATGGAGTGAAGCTCCGCGAGCTGGAGTCAGACGCCACCCTGAATGATGCAGCCGGGGCCGTTGAAGCTGAAGGCTATGCAAGCTATTGCAAGCTGCATTTGCACATGCCTGTTGGAGAAGTTTCATGTTGTTTCCACAGCCCCTTGCCCAGGCCCCGATCCTTGGAAGTACATCGTGGCCCTGGAGGATGGGCGCAGGTTGGAGGTGCGCTGGCGCAACCTGCTCCTGACAAGCAGCTGGGCGTAGCAAACTGCGGAAAAGAAGCCAGCTGCCCTAAACATGTTCATGCCTGACCCTCAAAAATGCCCTGCAAGAAGCGGCTGAGCAAGGTGATCGCCATGAGCGCTGGCAAGGCTCCTTGCGTTGAGCCCAAGCATCTTGAAATTGGCAGAGCCAAGCAGGACGACAAAGCCATTCTCCAGGAGCTGCTCCACTCAGATAAGGCGCGTGCAGAGTCTGATAGTCTCATATTCCATGCTTCTCAGCAGCCATGTCAGGATGCCCTCTACGCAGTCAGTTTCTCGACAGTGGAAGGAATGCCGTGGGTTCAAGCGCAGGACCCATTCTATGCTTATGTTTTTCCCTAACTGCTCCCGGTACCGCACCTGGCTGCTAGGCACAACATGACTTACTTTCTTCAGCACGGTCTTGCAGACCCCAGCTTCGACTCGCCGGCCTGTATCAGATTTGCGCAGCGGATTGCAGATTCTAACCCCACCCAAGAGTCAAAAGCCACCGCAGGCCGTTTCCAGGCATGTCCTGATCTACGGACTGCTCTTCAGGCAGTAAGTAAGTATCCAGCTTCATCCGCGCTTCCACATTTTCTCCCTGAGGCTGTGCAGACAGACCCAGCAGCACTCCCAGATTGCACATGTTGCGAGCAATGAGTTGTGTAAGTACTGAAGCAGTTTTAGTCAGGTCGCATCACAGACAGTGATATGCGGGTCCTTGTACCTGGTGGCAGACGCGGTCGGGTTGCAAGTGTCTAAGATCAGATGTTTTTTGTACATGCCAGCCGCATCACTGCAATGAGGGCCTGACAAAGTTGCAGGTGCGGCTGCATCGCAGCCTTGGCCAACACGACTTTCAGAAGGCGAAGATTTGACAAAGGCTTTCTCGCTTGCCTTCGCAACTGGATGTTGCCAACTTCAATCACGAGTCATGCTTGCTGTTTCCCCATGGCCCAGTTCACAGCATAGGTATTTTCAAGCCTATTTCTCATGTGGGGAGGAACTCATCGCATAATGGGCCAAGGGTTGGAACTGCGTGCGCCTGGCCACCAGATCATCAACAAAGATTTCTAGTTCAGGACAAGCCGTCACATCAATGGAAGCTCTACAAGATGAGTAGCAAAGACCGTATCCTTACGTTGTTCTTCTGGATCCTGCTTCCATTTCCGGTGCAACTGCTTGGGCCAAGGTGGATAGGGCCAATGTACTGGGGCTTCGACATTGTCTTGCTGCAGCCGCTGTTTCAAGGCATGTCCCAAGAAGTTGAAGGATCAGCGCGGGATGGACACAGATTGGCTGCAGAGATTTCAGGGATCCGAGAAGCCTTGCAAGTTGCGACATCTAGGGGTTGAAAGCTTTGGGTACCGGCTCAGGGTTTACAGAGTATCTCGCGTGTAGTGAAGTATCTTTCCCGCACGCGTGGAGCCTCTGGAGATGGGCTGCGGGGCGAGCTCGCATGGCAAGGCCGCAGTCGGGATGATCACATGATCACATGAGCCTTTGGGTTGCCTTGCATGCCTTGCCTAATGGGCATGAATCCTATTGTGTTGTGGCTTATGTGGGGGTGGCAGTTCTTTATGATCCGCAGTTCTTGGTTTCCTGACCTAGGGTGCTAGAGTTTACTAAGCTTCGGTCTCGCAAGCTTTTGATGTGATCGTAGTGACGTGGCTTTTGCGGGAGCTGCTCATGCTGGCGCGGTGCTGTCCTGTGTTGATTCCCTTAGCTTGTTTGCTACTCGTACCAGCCAGGACAAAACAATGACAGAATTTCAGCTGTGATGAGCTTTGTTTCTGCACTGCCTCTCAAGCTTGCCCTAATGGTAGACATAATTATGTTCGGACCAATCCAAGCTAGGCACATCAAGAAGCCCCTGGCACCCCATCAGGCCTATGTCGTTACCAAAGAGGATTCGAAAAGCTGGTGGAAGCCTCCCATCAGGCCTTTGCCAAGGCGGCAGACAAAGGCGAGATGAACATGAAGGCCTGCTAGAGGTTTTGTTGACACAAACATAGGCCCCAGGCTCAACCCGAAGCTTGAGCCAACCTGGCTGTGCCCCCGATACTTCAAGATCCAATTTCCCCTCGCTGAATTCGAGTTCTCAGCATCGGAAATCTGCCAAATCAAGCACAGGTTGAAGAGGTCACATTTCAACGGTACCCTGCTAAGAGGGCACAGACACAATCCAAACAACGATCAGCATTCCAGCACAGCTGCTGCCAGCAGTACCTAGCGGCAATACTGTTATTCTCGTACCGAGTACACCTCAGTATAGATGAGACACTAGCATTTTCTGTGCATCCATGAGAATCCGGAGGCCTTGAGGTCCTAGGCATCCACCGTGGTTCTCAGTAGGTGCTGAGATTTATACACCACCACCTTCCCTGATACCATCGTGTTATTCTGAATCTGAAAATGTGTAAAGATGTTCTGGGACTTGCCTACGGGTTGGCAAGGCTTCCTTTTTGGGGGTTGGGAGGGCCTGTAGTATAGGTCTGATCAGAGAAGTCGGGAACGGATCTAAACATCCGATGAAACGGCTGCGAGCTTCAAGGCCATGTTTTCTTCCAAGTGTTGTGATGTCGGAATCCCTGCAGAGATCTTGAATCTCTTTCACACCAGAGATCCTGACCAACGACCTGAAGCCCCTTCCACAAAACAGTCACTGGCACGGTCCCTCCCCTAACATATAAGGAAAGCTGCTAATTGAATCACAGTCTTCATCACTACTTGGTCTTAATCACTACTTTAACACTTAAAGAATGGTGCAGAGCTCGAGTTGTCATGCCGACTACCGTGGCAAACCAACATCAAAATTGCAGGGATGCTTTTTCGTATGATTCTTGCCTCCCTCTTTCTGGCATTGCTGCAATTCTTAATTAGTCTTATACCCCAAATCCAGGACTTCGTTGCATGGTGCCTTCCGGAAGCGGGCGTTTGCTTCAGCGAGGACTCCTCATCCTAGGTCCCCGGTTCCATGCCGGAAGAATGAATGAATGAAGGCTCTCTGGAGTGTCAGTATGCAACCCTATTAACTTACTGTCCTTTTCGCAGCCCATGAAGAGTTTACTTAGCTGGGGAGCTGAGCACGCGGAATCCTAATACGTTGCCAACCTATCTCGGCTTGATGTGTCGCCAGTCCCTTCCTTCGAATAGAGTGCGAGAAGCACATAGAAGCACTAAACCTTCAACTTCATACCCCGAGCCTTGAGCCCTAAGCCGGCAAGGAGTGCAAACAGTTTATTGTGCAGCCGCCGCCTCCGCGACTGGTGCCCTGGAACTCGAGCGGGGCTAGGGGCAGTGGCAAGTGCATTAATACGATTAGAATTTGCAACATTTCACGGGCTTTCGTATTGTGACCCATACTGGCTCTCAAGACTGGGGTCCTCTTGAAGGGGCGTCGGAAGTTGAACTTGACCTTGCAAGCTTTCAGCTCTACACCTGGAAAACTTGTTCGGACCTGCTTGTCTGCAACATGTGGCTAAGTTGCACGCGTTGATTTCTGTGTCTTTGAAGTCGTAATCCAGGTTTGGACGTAGGCGTGACTGGCGTGCAGAGGCTTCAGGTGCTTCAGGTGTTTGAAGCTTCAAAGTTTTAAGGGTTTTTGTACTTGATGCCTTTGGTGCCTTTGGCTTGGGCTCTGCGATAGTTTACAGAGCCGGGTCTGGCCGAGCGTGCTTGGGACTGCTTGGTACTTAAATCATTGAAGCTGGGCTACAAGAGGCAAGGACGCTCATGAGAACTAGATGGGGCAGATCTGTCCAGAGAGCGCAAGATAGCCCTGCTTGGCTGGAAGGCGTAAACTCAGTTAAGGGTTTGGACAGTGAGTTTACAGTTAGGATATATGTGACATCGAGTTTTGACCGTCTCCGAAATTGTGCGAGCAGAGTTAAACCACATGTGTATCGGCCGGAAACGCTTTGACAGCATGTTTCGACTGTCTCAACGGAGTAGTTCAAAGCCGTCTCGGTGCAAGCACATCCGCCTAACCATCGTAGCGTAGTAGCTGCATTGCCCATCAAATGTTTGAGTAGGTTCTTTCTTGTGAGAGTTTCGTGTCATCGCTAGCAGGCTGATGCGAAAACCGCCTGGAAAACAGATCTCTCACTGTGCTGCTGGTACAAGCAAGTTGCTTGACTCTTAGTGGGTGTTTTCTTGAGGCACCTGCCAGCCTCAAACAGAAGTGCATTTTGCGTTTGTCCCAAACTCTGTTGCACGTCTCGCTTTGTAAAGTGTAAACGGCAGGGTCACAGGTTTGACATGTATGGTTTATCTTGGGATATGCCTGAGTTCCCAAATGGGCTTTCTAGCGGCACTAATCAATGAGGACATGCAAGACTTGAGAGAAAGGAGGAAGAAGAAGACGCCGCCTTTGGGATCCCCAATGTTCCAGGTAGGCCACAGGACTTGTTGGACAAGGCAGGGATGGGAGAAAACTCGCGCTGTTACTATTGAGTTGAACCTTACTCCTTCCGGTTTGGCTTTTGCTGCAGGATGCAAGGACACAGATGTGCTCTTTGTTGCAGCCGAGGTTCACTTTGGCGAGGTGGCCAACACTCATGCTGACTACTTTTTTGGCAACTTGACTGATTGATAGTGAGCATTCTCTGTGTTTTGACAACGCAGGTTGTGGAACAAATAGTGCAAACCAAATTCGCCGAACTCGGGAAGTCTAGTGGGCAATCACACGCAAGATGGAGGCATCGCAAGTCACGGGACCAAAATATATTGCTGCCCTTCCACCTGTGATGCTTTCCTGATCTACGACACCGCCTCAGAGCACATGAGATTGCTCAAGTGACGCCCGTGCGATACCGGAGGTTTAACAAGATGTGCTGCTTTGAAGGCAAGATCTATGCTGCCCCTTGCGTTGCAAACGTACTGCTTGTTTATGACCCGGCCACGGAGCGACTTTCTGGCGTTGACATTCTCGAATTTGCTTCCATGACCTGGGAAAAGTTTCATGGGATTTGTGGCCTGGATGGCATGATTTATGCCGTGCCTGGCAGTGGGACCCAGCTGTTGGAGTTCGACACAACCTCAGGCAAGACTACTGGAATCGACATTTCACATGTCGCCTCTGAAGGCATCACCAAATTCAGTGGTGCATGCATCTGCTCGGGAAAACTCTTCTCCGCACCGTGCATTTCCAACAAGATGCTTGTCTTTGACCCCAAAACAAGAGAGGTATCAGGTGTCGATGTCACTGCATTTGCACTAGAAGGCAACAAGTTTTCCGATATTTGCAGTTTCGAAGGGAAGGTCTACCTATGTCCATCTGATGCCGAGTGCTTGCTGGTGTATGACGTCAGCAATGAGCAGTTCCAGGCCTTTGATGTCTTGAAGTTTGCGCCAGGCATGGGCAGATTTGGGGGCATTTGTGTCTTCAAGGGGCTGATTTACATGTCGCCCGCAGGCGCCTCCTGTGTTCTCTGCTTCCACCCAGGGCATGAAACCTTTCTTTCCATCAGCCTCACATTCTTGCTGAGCAAGCCTTCCGTCGGGTTCTCTTCCATTTGCGAGGCGGAAGGCAAATTATACCTGGCAGGCCGCCGCCAAAGCTTCATGCTGGTGCTGGGTGACTTCGATCCGTGGGAGCACGTGGAGCAACTTGAATCACAGGAGGCCGTCCCACCAGAGGTACTGGCTGAGGCACAGGC